TTGCATATGAGTAGTTGGTGGTCTGTTCCACAATCAGCTCCTGGCCTAGTTTTCACAGCTGATATTGAGCTTCTCCAGCAGTTCTTTCCACAGATGGAATCGATTTGATTCCTATGCATACCATCTGGTGAAATCCAAGTGTATAACCTGTGTTTATGTTTCTTATAAAATGATTGTGCAAAATTCGATCATTTTCTCTCCAACTCCATTTCTGTCACCGAGTCCATGTTTTCCAACTACTGAACCATCTTCTCTCTTCCCGACTTTTGCATTCCAGTCACCCATTATTATTAATGCATCTTGATTGCATGTTTGATCGATCTCCAATTGTAAAAGTTGGTAAAAATCTTCTAGATCCTCTTCCTTGACTCTGGTTGTTGGTGCATATATCTGAATGATAGCGGTATTCACTGGACTTCCTTGTATGCGTAAGTATAACAAAATGGAACTCTGCTCCATTCTACATTATCCTCACAATGGTAATTTAAAGGCTTCTTGAAAGTACTGAAGATCAAAGATGTCAAATTAAAGACTACGGTGCACCTGATCTACACTATTGTATTTTAAATTGTTTCTAGTACATCTGAAAGTTGTACGATTCATAAGGAAGATCAGAAGGCCTAAGAAGAATTAATGTAATGTGTTGTGGTCTTGGCAAAGAGTACTAAATATACTATGGATTACCAAAAGAACAAGCAAATCTGTCTTGGAAGCAAGGCAACTAGGGTGTTCCTTAAAGGAAAGGGTAGTAACTTTGTCTCATATTGTTTGAGTATGCTGTAAGAAGGGGCCAATCCTTGGAAGAAGACATTATTCTGGGAAAGGTTAAGAGTCAGCAAAAGAGAGGAAGACCTTCAATGAGACGGACTGAAAAAAGTGACTATAGCAAAGAGCTTGAGCACATGGGAAATTGATGGTGGCTCAGGACAGGGCAAGTTTCGGATCTGCTGTTTCCAGCGTCACTCTGACTTAACAGTTGACTCAATTGCACCTAACAAAAATCACAACAACATTACATGCTTTTACAATATTCTTTTTCTGTACTGCTTAAAAATTTTATAATAAAAATCACATCACTATAAAGACATAAAAATCCTGTATCATATCTACTGTTATTTTCTGTTATGAAAAATACTTATAGGTATAAAATGAGAATAAATACCATCACCAAATGTATCGATACATTGTTTCTCTCCATTCAAACACTTTCCTTCCAGACATATCCACTGTTCTCCTCCACAAGGATGCCCATTCTGAATGTAAAAGTCTTCCGGACAGACTGAAGATGTTCCATTGCAAAATTCAGGGAGATCACATTCATTATTGGGTTCCCTACATAATTCTCCTTTACTCTTAAACTAATGAAGCAGAAAAAGTGGCATTGAATAAAGCAGACTGTGAACATTTGACAAGAATTATATAGCTTTACTTAATGTGGATTCTAAGAAATAAAAATGTTCTTACAAAACATCCTTCACAGCACTCTCCTGTAGCACAATTTGCTCCACCAACGAATGTACAGGTGGCAAAATTACAACAATGCCCTGGTGTCCGACGACATTCCTGAAAGGCAAATCAAATGCTCTGCAATATCTTCTGGCTGTTAGTTACCTTGATTTAGTGGAAACAATATGGTCATAATATTCGGATAGATGCCTAAGTTATATTTATATTATTGTTGTTGTTGTTGTTGATTGTTATCGAGTTCAGCACAACTCATAGCGATCCTATGGAAAAAAGGCCAGAAGCCTTTCTATATGCCAAACAAAGGCAATTGCCTTCTGTATATGATTACATAGGGCAAAGTTCAAGTTATCCAACAAAGGTTTAGGACTCAAGTATATGGCACTTAACGGATCAAAGTTTTTCTCATGCCAATTTTCCATAAAAATTTAATTGAAACTCAATTATAAACCTAACAAAAATCCCCCCCAAATTCTCCAACAGTACACTGTACATCTAGTTATTTAAATATGTATATTTTGTGCTTGGGAGGCTACACCAAATCTTTGCCATTGCTGTTGGGAATACTGAATGTCACTGTTTCTGTACTATCTTCAGGTCCATACAATTCACTTTGAGTCTCACAAAATTGCTATGCTTGATTGCATTGTTTCATCTTTATTCTTCCTTCCAATCTGGAAGTTTTACACAATGTATATGGGTTGGCCATAATCTTCACAATTACTTGCTATGCATCAGAGAGCTGGACAATGACCAAGGATGACTGAAGAAGAACTGATGCCTTTGAGTTGTGATGTTTGATAAAATTTTAAACATACCATGGACGGCTAAGGGAACAAACAGGTCTGCCCTGGAGAGGGTGAAACCAAGCTATTTCTTGAAGGATTTTGAGACTCCATCTCACATAATTTGGACATGCAGCTAGCAGGGATCAGTTACTGGAGAAGAATATCATGCTTGGGAGGACTGAGGGACAGTGCAGGAGAGAAAGATCCCAGATGGAAAGGATTGACTCAATAATTGGGGTAATGAGAGTAGGTGTGTCAGAGACAGTGAGATTGACTCAGGATAGAACAGGGTTCATAGTTATGGTTCAAAGGGTTGTTATGAGTCATGGTTGACTAGATGGTACATAATAACAACAATATATGGGTTGAAAAACTGACTGTTTTATTTTGTTCCAAATCTTTTTGAAATAAATATTGAGCTGTTAAAATAATCAAACCTACTAACATGACTTCTATGTTTTCTTGTTCCACTGTGAATAATCTACATCTATCATTTTCAATTAACTAATGATTAATAGGTTGAAAAATAACACACAAAGGCAGAGTACATCCAAGATGGTATAGTTAAACTCAAGTCTAATAACTGAGGACCTTGAGAATTATACGTAAGAATAATCTACAAATCATTGCATCCATATAGCAATATATAATTGTACTCATTAGTTTATTATCCCATGAAGCTATGCTGCAATCCCAATACCACATAGAGCAAATCTACCAGCTGTTACAGGAGAAGGATGAATAATCTCCTTCCATGCAATTTGCTGTCTCTGAAAACCCACTGGAGAGGCAGCTGTGGTCAGTTCTGACTTAGTACAACTACAATATGCCTTTTCAAGGCCTTTGTAGAAAACAGATTGATAAATTAAATAAGATGGCAGTGTACACTGTACTCCCTTGAGACAAGGATCTTGAAACTCTGTCCCACATACTTTGAAAATGTTGCAAGGAGGGACTGGCCCTTAGAAGGTTGGAGGGACAGTGCAGGAGAATGAGATCTGAACAAGATAGACTGACACAGTAAATAGGGTAATGGGAGTAAATGTGTTGCAGACTGTGAGACTTGTTCAGGAGAGGGTAGGATTCAGAGCTGTTGTACATATGGTATCTGAGTTGCAAGTGACTTAATGGCATAACACCACCACCACACTATAAAATTAACTTTGAAAAATTCTGGTATATCATCATATTTTCCAATTTGGTACCAACCTCTTCAGTTCCACAGTCACACTGTTCTCCTGGTTCTACTATTCCATTACCACAAATGGCAGATTTGAATGATGGTTCTAAATGTGGCTGATTACGAAGACACTGGGAGTTAGGTTTTGAAATAAAATGTGCAAAGTCTTCCATGCTGCAGTTACTAAAGCTTTTCATACCACTGGAATGACTAAACAAAGAAAAAAAACACAAAAACAAAGCATCACACTTAAAAAAATTAAATTTATGAATCCTTTCCATAAACTTCTTTCCTCGAGAGCAAAGCTTGATAATGTTTAACAATTGACTAAATGCTCAATTTTAGTTGCAAATGTACAAATTTTATGTAGGAGATATTGAGGCATAATTTATATTAACAATTATTTAGTAGAAAAAGTAGTTGCTGGTTGTACAGTTTATGAATTTGATATCAAGCCAAAATTGGAGGTTCTGGTACATATCCAGATCTATGGGCTATAGTGACTTAGTGATAACAAACTGTGCTGCACTCCCAAAGGCATATATATGATCTGAATCCACAAGTTGTTCCATGGGAGAAGGATGGACAGTCTCCTCCAATAGGACTTACTGACTTTGGAAACCCACAGGAAGGTCAGTTATGGGTTGGTTCTGACTCTACAACACAAAACAACAATAACGATAGATACCAAGAACCACCTTAGAAGAAAAGCTTGGAGATTTTCTTCTCAGAAGTCAGTCTTTGAAAACTTCATGGAGCACAGTTCTACAATGACACATGTGGAGTGACTATGAGTTGTAACCAACTTCCCAGCAACTGGTAGTAAGAAAATAATCAGTAAAATTTCCTACTGATCTGTGTTGCTAACTCCTGTTTTAACTCCTGTCTAGTAAGTTATTTAACCTTATTTTGCTTATTTTTCTTCTGACTGACAAAAAGTGGAATATACACGTGGTATGTTTGTGTTCAATCACATGCTAGGCATCTGAGATATGGGCAATAAATAAAGATAACAAAAGAAGAATTGATGCCTTTAAGTAGTGGCATTGGAGAAGAGTAATGAATATCCCATGGACTATCAAAAGAACAAATAGATTTGTCTTGAGGAAAATGCAGCCACAGTGCATCTTGGAGAAAAGAATGGTGAAGCTTCATCTCACATACTTTGGGCATGTTGCTAGAATAAGCTATTCTTTGCAAAAGAGATATCATGTTTGGAAAGATGGAAGATCAGTGAAAGACATGGTGACTGCAGCAATGGGCTCAGCTGCGTCAGAGATGAACAGGATGGCACAAGATAGGACAGGGCTGAGGACTATTGTATGTACAACTCATAGGGTTAGAATGAGCTGTACTTCACTCAAATGCACCTAACGACAGCAACACACACACACACACACACACACACACACACACACACACTCTGTTGTGTACTGATGAGATAGAACTAACTCCAGTAAGTTTTCAGAAGCAGTAAATCACATGCAAGAAGATCACCCTTATTTACCCATGGAGTAGCTGATGGATTCAAACCCCCTGCCTTCGAGTTGGTAATGCCAACTTCTTACCACTAAGCCACCAAAGATCCTTATATTGTTTTGCTGTGTACTGTTGAATTAAAAGTTACCCACACATGACCCTCCAGTGGGTTTTCAGAGGCAGTAAATCACATAGAAGGGAGGAGAGTGTTCTTTCTTCCATGAAGCAACTTGTGGATGTTAATTGCCTGCCCTTGAGTTGGCAGTGCAACTCCTTACCCTCTAGGCCATGTTGTTGTTGTTGTTATGTGCCATCGAGTCATTTCCGACTCATAGCAACCCTATGCACAACAGCTCTAAACCCTGCTCTATCCTGCGCCAA